TGAGAAAATTATGAATTTTGTAATATTGTATAATTGTGCAATATTATTATGAATTTGTTTAATTATTGTGGGAGGTGTTGGGAGACTTGCTATTGTTGTTGTATTTATGTGCCACGTGGTATGCCCCTATTGGAGCTCAATAGGTGGTTTGTAAGGGCTCGGGCTAATCTACCTTTGGCCGGGTAATTTAGCACCGAGTGAGGGCTACGGCTCGAGGTTAATGGAGGGATATAAGGATGGTTGTTTGTGTGTATTGTAATATTTCATATATTTGTTGGAATTATATTATTTTTAATTCTCACTTAGTAAGCACACACTTAACTGTTTGTATACACTATCATAAATTGGCTTTAGTTACTGGGACTTTTGAGTCTCATTATGTGGTTAAAAATTTTCAGGAGAAGAGCCACGAGTGACACGTGGAGGAGTCCCAGAGGCTTAGTGGTATAGATCCACTGTCTCTTTTGGGTATTTAATTTATGATTTATAATGTGTTATATTGCCAATATTAGGACTTTTTTATGTTTATTGTCAATTATATGAATATATAAATGTAATCATGCCTTTCAAACTATTTCTATTTTTGGTACAATTTGGATGACTGTAATTTTAATATTTGGTTTACTTTGGATTGGTTAAAATGGCATGATTATAAGGCCAAATAACTGGCTTGTGTTGAAAATTGACTAAATTGCTTATTTTACTTGTTGGGAGTATAAGGATGGACAAATGTGATTTAGTTTACTTGTTGGGAGTATAAGGATGGACAAATGTGATTTAGCCTAATGGCATGTGGGAGGTAAAAATTTATCTGAAATGTTATAGTGTGTAAGTTGAAGCCAATTATAAAATATTTTATATCGAAATTATTGATATAAAAATGTGTTGGGTGGCTGTAACCCAACTATGGTTGAGTTAAATTATTTAAAAAAAAAAATTTTGGTGTGTTACATTGAAGCCTTACATAAATAAGCAATATTGAGGTGATGATCATGTTGGATTTTAATGTGTACTCTATCTTATATTATTTGACTATTGGGTTATTTTTCAAAGCTTTTATCTTTGACCTGCATCCCCTCCATTCAATATTATAAGATTTTTTTTTTAAGTGCTCCCTCCAATTTCTATTACAGGATTCTCTTTAAGAGGATCTTTTAGTCTTTAATATAGAATATTTGTTGAAATATTAATTATACTTTTATAATGTTATTTCTATTTAAACTCATTAATTATGAAGGAATGTAATGAAAATTTGAATTTTTTTTATTTGAATATGTGTAAAATTAAAAAATTATTATATTTTCAGCAAAATTAATGACTTAATAGTATATGTGTTTTGAAAAAAAAAATCGATTTTAACTGTGTGGATGGGATTATTAAATAATATTAATGGTGAGGAATGAATCATAAGGAAGCTAAAATTGAGAGAAAAATAGGATGGGGAGGAAATTATAAATGGTGATACCAATGAAAGGCACAAATGATTCAAATTCTCACATACACATAAATGAGGCCTATCTTGATTGTGACACCACATTATTTTGTATCTCCTTTTACAAACACTATCTAATACTCACTCGATCGTAAGCGTTATATTCGCAATACTTGGAGCTTATTCACGAAATATCAGCGACCATTTAGCATGCCCCTACAAAATTTGTGGCACATAAGATGATAATGCTATATCTCCTTAGTGGTCTCTAATGTCCAGCTGCCTCAAGTCTTGAGGATTACATGAGCTGGTGTGTGGTATGATCCTTTTTCTAAAAATGGATCAAGTTATGTCTACGTTTATATCTTGAACCTGCAATATCTATCTTAACTCTCTCCTCCTGACTTTAGGCTGAAGGTCCAACTTTAAGTCCAAACAAAACATTACTTATAAATTGATGTTTCAAAGGTTACAAATAAGGGCATAAACAGAGCAAATCATTGGAAATGATGATATGTTTGATAGTATTTTCCTTTTTTACAAATTAGCAAATTTTACTTACAAATTCTTCTTTTATATATATATATATATAGTTGCAAATCGTAGAACGAGAGTAGCAATTTTTTGAACTATTTTACTATAGGATCTTTGGTCTTTATTTTGAATTTTTAAAATTTTATACAAGACCATGGAATTCTAAATTCAAATATGAAAAGGCTTCAACGACCATGAGATTAATCTACTTTCAGTGATGGCCAAAAAAAAAAAATTCAATGCTTTATGCAAGTTAGCTCTAGCCAGAAAAAAATAGTTACATCATTAACTTTATATATAAATAAAAAATTTAAATTTGCCTATATTTAAAAACATTAACTAAAAAAATTCCACGCCCACATTTCTGTTATAAATTTCACCTATATATATATATATATGTTCGCTTTTATCAACTATATAAATCAAGATCACATCAAAATGCAAGCAAATTAGTTTAATTCCTTTGGACTTGGTATAGTATATATATTACAAATTAACGCACGATTGTAAAAGTTGACACAACATATTATGAATTTGTTATGTCGTTTGATGTTGTATTCAATGTATTGCATAAACTAATACCACGATGTCTTCTTACATGTCGTGATAATGTATAACTTTTGGTCTATCAAATTTTAATTATTTGTGCACCTAAGTAGTTCAAACAATGAGCCATGAAGACAAAAGTCAACTGGTTGTGGAAATGTATAACTTAATTAATTGTTTCGTATTAATATTATCTTGTATCCTACACTATTAAAATTCTATATATCTTGTCTTATGATATCGAGCTTTACATTGAATTACCAAATATTACAAAATTTCACATCACGCAACATATCAAACAGGGCTAATGACGTAATTAACTAAATTTATATAATTCTTTTGTCAAGATAAATCGATACTCTATACAATTAAAAACAATTTAATGCTCGAATGAAGAGGGAGATGTTGGGATGGATAAATCATAAAAATAGAAACAGAATCAAAGAAATTAATTTTTTCCAGTTTTTTCTTCATCTCTGTCCCTTATCCGTTTGCTTTATTGCATACACTCCCTCTTTAAAAAAATATATTAGGTTAAAAAGAGCATTAATTCTATTATTACGAAAGAAGAACATCGATTTTATGTATTTGGAATTTTGGATATCTAAATGGAGAGAAAAATCGTTACAAACTACACAAATAACGAGTTGACAGTTGAATTAAATATAGATTATAATAATTATTGAATTGAATTAAATATCCAGAAAAGAAATTCTAATGATTATTATGGATTAATTTAATATGGATAATGTTTAGATAAAGACAAATCTAAAAAAATGCTAACTATCATTATGTTCAAACATCAAGACTCCTAAAACCACGACTATTTATTTTAATGAATCTATTTCCTTATATTATACACTTTTGTGTGGCACATGCACTTGTATCTCTCTCTCTCACTCAGAATACGTGAATTGATTTTAAATTGTTATCTTAATTTAAACGTGCATTCAATATAGTGTTAAATTGTTTGTTGGAGAAATATATTAGAATCAAAAGAACATTAATTTTATATTTGAATATCTTAATGGAAAAGAAAATTCGTTACAAACTAATGAATTGATAATTGATTGTTGACAAATAATTAACAATGACTAAATTTCAGATGCAATGTTGGCCAAAAATAATTTCAGATGCAGTCTCCCATATCAGATAGACATAGAATATAATAATTACTGAATTTTATTTAATATCCAAAAAAGAAAAATTAATTAATTATGGTTAATTTGATACGGATGATTTGTACACTAAGCCTCTGTCCTTAATTTTTTTTTTAATGCAAGAGCACGTGTTTAAGTTTAATAGACATGCACGGAATCTAGAGGGGGGCAGGCTCCCTTTTAGAAAAATGTAAAATTTTTACTTTAAAAAACATTAAATTTAATTTTGGCCCCCACATTTTATGTTTTATTTTACATTTGACTGCTCATTTATTAGCTCAGGGATTCGTTACTGCATGCACATTTAAACTCTTTTTTTCAACTAATTAGAACTTATGAATAATCTAATCTTAATTGCAAACTAGTGATCTAAATTTATATGTCCACACTTTTGGTTGAAAAAAAAAAACAAACAAACACGTGCATACAAGATAATATTAAATTGTTTGTTGGAAAAAGGGTTAAATTAATAGTCCATTTAAAGAATTTTATATTTTAAAATATTTAAATTTAATCATTTCATTTTTACTCCAATAATTATTAATTAATGAATTATTTTTATTAAATTTTTATTAATTATTAAGTTAATTTTATTTCATTATCAATGTTTTTTATCACTATGATTAGTACAAGCTCTCAAAATTTTAATTTATAATTATCAATGCAAGTTAATGATACGACTTAAATGAAAAACAGTTATGAATAATTAAAATACCTTAATCGTATTATTATGATAAAATTTAAATTATATTTTTATTGTTAATAATGTATGGAAAAAGGGCTAATGAGTAATGACAGACAAAAGAGTGAGAGAAGATGCAATTTTTTCAGCCGTTTTTTTAAGTTGGAGTGAGTGTTTTTTTTTTTTTTTTGAAAATATGAGTCTTTTGAATAGCCTCTCTCTGTTTTTTTTTTTTTTTTTCGGCCTTTCGGCCTCAGAATCTCCTGCGTCTCTCTAAAATTATGTAAAGTATGTCTGTTATCTGGATTCTTCAACGCAACATTCAAAGGTTCATTCTCATTTACATTATTATAAAATTAAAAGTATTTAAATGTAATCTAAATAGATCAAATTGAGTATATTATTTGTACATCCACCGGATAATAAGATACTAATTTTTACAGGATCGCGTTGGAAGAGGATTTGGATTTTGGACATTGGAGAGATAATATATTCCATTTTTGGATTAATTAATTAATAATTAATAATTAATACGAACGGATTTTAAAAATCAGATTGAAATAGATTATTAGTTTCCTGTTTTATCTCTGAATTCTGTGGGACTGTTGGTATATATGCCCACATCTTTTCACTGCTCGCCCTCGCCACACTCCCCACCCAAGTCTTTGCGTCAAGCCAGCCAATCGTGAGAAAAGCTTTTCGTGGAGAAGATCACAGAATCCTCAGGAGATTCATTATGGGTTGGTCTTATTTTTCTTGCTTCTTCTTCTCCTCTGCCATAGCTTCCATGTTTTCTGCGTTTCTTTTCTTTTCCCCAATTAGGTGAGGTGGGATTACCGGATTTTTGTTTCTGGGCACTCTGGTGAATTAAATCCGTCCGTTTTCTTCGTTTGTAACATGGAACACTCCATTACGTTACTCTTGCTTCTCTGTTTTCCCTTTTTCGTGAAGCAGAGTAGTGTCGCTGGTTTTTCATTTTCAAGCTGCTTGTTTCTTCAGTAGTTTCTTATACGTGTTTGACTCTCCCTCCTTCCTCCCCCCCCCCCCGGGTGTGTTCTTCACTCTCTCTTTAGAGCCGAATCAGCTGTTTGATTTCATTTTTATAGTTCAGGTTTTGATTGTTTCTTGTGTGCCTATGCCTATGGCTTTCTGTTTTCTTCCTTCGTCTTAATCCCTTGTTTATGAATTGATGAGTTCGTTGAACTTCTTGTTTTCATTGACTATGGAGATTTTTATTTATATTTGCTATTCCTCTAATTGGGTATTTTCTTCGATAGCTTTTTTCTCGGAGGCTGACATGTCCGTTAGTTTTTCTCATTACTACGACGACTATGACAATCTCTTCCGGAGATTGAACCCACCAAGGTAAGATTTCATGAATTAATGAAACCAAATCACCTCTTAAGATTAAATTTGATTTGCTCCTATTCTATCATCTAATATTTTTTATTGGCTTATCCTGTCAGGGTTGTGATTGATAACGAAGCCTGTGATAATGCCACTGTAATGATGGTTGATTATGCAAACAAGCATGGAATACTTCTTGAAGTCGTTCAAATCCTCAATGATCTCAACCTTATCATAACCAAGGCTTACATATCTTCTGATGGAGGATGGTTCATGGATGGTAATGGTACTTTCTTTTCTGTATTCTGTTTATTTCATACTTAATAATAGTTCTTGCAACACGGACTGACGTTTTTCTTGTCAATTTAACTTGCAGTTTTCAATGTCACTGACCAAGATGGAAACAAGGTTACTGATGAAGCTGTTCTGAATTACATTCAAAAGGTTAGTAGTACTTAGGTTCATTTGATGTCTTTGTGCTTTCTAATATAGACATCCACTGACTAGGAATTGCTTTGCAATGCTACATTTATAGAATCTTGGACCAGATTCTTGTTGTATTTCTCCCAGGAGATCTGTTGGGGTTAAGCAATCAATGGACTACACAACAATAGAAGTACTGGGAGCTGATAGGCCTGGATTACTCTCGGAAGTAAGTGCTGTTCTAACCCACCACAAGTGCAACATAGTGGATGCAGAGGTCTGGACACACAATGCTCGCGCGGCCGCTGTGATGCGTGTAACTGATGAAGAAACTGGGTCTGCTATAACTGATCCACATAGGCTATCTCTGATCAAGGAGCTTCTGTCTAATTTGCTTGCTTCATGTGACAACAAAAAGGGAAGAGCTAAGACTGTGGTCACTGATGAAGTCACTCATACTGATAGAAGGCTTCACCAGATGATGTGTTCTGATAGAGATTATGAGCGAGATCCTTTTGATGATGATTCTGATCGGAGGTCAAGGCCTAATGTGAATGTTGTTCCTTGCTCTGAGAAAGATTACTCTATCGTTTCCATCCAATGTAAGGACAGGCCAAAGCTTGTGTTTGACGCAGTTTGTGCTCTGACAGACATGGAATATGTTGTTTTCCATGGAAGTATTGATGCTCAAGGACCAGAAGCATATCAGGTATTATCCTATTTTCTGCCACTTTTCCTGGACACAGAAATGTTGTCTTAAATAGGCATTGATGTAATTTGTTTAAATGATTGTATCTTCAGGAATATTACATCAGACATGCTGATGGATCCCCCATAAAATCAGACGCAGAAAGACAGAGATTAGTACAATGTATTGAAGCTGCCATTGAGAGAAGAGTTTCAGAGGTGAGGTCCTTCATGTATATTACTGAATTATTAATCCCCACATAGCATTTTGTCAAAGCTGATAATGATCCAATCTCACTTATTTTCATTCTATTTCATGCATTCTCAAAATTCATGACTTATTCTTAGTATCTAGATTTCTATCATGATTAGCATATTTGGATAGTTGTTACAGACAGCTCAACTTGTTTCTTCATCCTCTTTCAGGGAGTGAAACTAGAGCTCTGCACAGGTGACAGATTTGGACTACTTTCGGATCTGACAAGGATATTGAGAGAGAACAGCCTCGACGTGACCAGAGCACAAGTGTCCACAAAGGAAGGCAAAGCTATAAACACATTCTACGTTCGCGGCGCTTCTCGTTGCCCTATTGATTCCAATTCCATAGAATCCGTTCGTCAAATTATTGGCAGCAGCATTCTCAAAGTAAAGGGAACAACACCTATACCTGCAAATTCACAAAATTCCAGATTCCTCTTTGGTGGCATTTTCAAGTCCAGATCCTTTGCAGACCTGGTCAAGTCTTATTGTTGATGAAGTTTACATGTTTTCTTTGTACAGCCAAACATCGGGTCAGAAATTAGGAACACTAACATGACACATTTTCAAAAGCATAGGGAAGAGACCCTCAATTTCCTCTGATTTGTTTTCTTACAACAAAGTTTATCTTTAGATTCTCACTATAGATCCAACCATGCGTGAGTTGGAGACTAGCTTTACAGATGAAAGCATAGAGAACCTTAACTGTGTAGTGTAGGGCCTTAACCATGACTCTCTATGTAAAGAATTCAACATTTGTGTATAGTATTATATCAAATATTATCCATTTCTCTGATATTCGCTTTCATGTTATGTGCTTCTGTCGCATGATTTTGCATTATGAACTATGTAAAGCAGTTCTTGTATTTGAGTTTAACTGGAACGTTAACAGTGTCTGTATAGTTGATTGATATTTGAGTGGATGACAAGTCCTTTTAAATTAAGATAAAATTATCAAATGAATGCGTAAAGTTCGTAAATAAGAATATCCTCCTTGCCAGGTGGTGCTTTCTGGTCTTCATAATAAAAGCTACGCTACAGAGGCTAGAAAAAGTTGGGTTTGACGCTAATTTTGGACCTGATATGATAGAATATTAAATAAGAATGGGAAAATGATGGACAAAGTTAAATGACATGAGAGAAATTTGGAGGATAAAGAGAAAATAATAGTGCATGGGTTGCCTAGTTTTAGTTTTATTTGTTTTTATTGGATACCAAAATTTTCCAAGATGATGGCCTACTATAATGTTGAGAATAGTTCACACCAATCTGATAGAGATTGAGACTGGCACTTAGCCTGCATGGCGTTGGTCTGCCAAATGGTATATCTTTCTGTCATGTTGCTTCCTTCAATTCTTATCCAAATTTTCCATACTATTCATTCCAATGGCGCTTAAAAAGATCCTCACAAAGCAGCGTTTTTTCAAAATAATAATAATAATAATAATAATAATAATAATAATAATAAAAGTATTTCATTTAAAAAAGGTTTGAGCAACGAATTAAGATTTTTTTAAATATTTGTTTTATTAGAACCGAACTGGCTAATTTGACCCGCCTGATTGAGAACCAACCTATAGTCTGATTTGGTCAAAATGCGTAATTGGTGAAAAAGTGAATTAGTTAAGAACTGATTTTCATATCTTTTTTAAAATCTCAATAACTTAAAAATTGTTATTTTATGTTTTTATTTGTCTTGTAAGTCTTTCTTTATGGTTATATATATTTGATTACGTATAGGTGATTTTGGTTAATAATAAAAGTTTATGTTAGTTTGGTCAGACAATTGTTGCGGCGCACTAGATTAGTTTGATTATTTGTAATTAATAATAATTAGTTTTATTACAGTGTTGGCGCAATTAATTATAAACTTGATATACATGACAAGGATGCAGTTAAATATTATTGTCTAAAATATTTTTGTTTTTCAGACACAATCTTTAAATTTTATTGATAGTAGTTTGACCAAGATTCAGTGAACTAATATGTGATCCTGACGATCCTTGGTGATATGGAATCAGGTTTCCGTATATTTAATTTTGGAAAGGGCATAGTGGCAGGCAGGCACGACAATTATTTGAAGGAAACCCAATGAGAATGGGTTGATTCAGTTCCACCGTGAATCTTTCTTTCTGTATAAAGGTGGTGGCTTTGTCATGCGGTGACGTTTTGCCACTTTTGTTTTTGTTTTGAGATGGTCCAAGAAGATGCACTTGTTATCCAATCCACATCGTTTTGAGGGCATGCCATTTTCCTTTTAAAGACAGAGACAAACAGGGCCCAACGCAAATTTGCGTTTTCTTTTCTTCTTTGCTCCTCAAGGCTTTTTTTTTTAAAAAAAAATATATTTCTATTTCAGATATTATCAAATACTGAATATAAACATCTTTTTCAACCAAAAAATATATAAACATCTTTTTCAGCAAGAATTTGAGCATTAATTTATCATAAGAGATTAATTCCTTCTATTAACCTTAAGCCTTGTTGGCTTTAAGTTTGTTTTTTTTTTTTGCACCCTCTTAAATTATTTTTTTAAATGAAAATTTCATTAAAGGTTCACAAGAGGGACTTAATTGTAAAGAAGAAGAGCTGAATGAATATGACATTACTTTGCATGATTAAGAGATTGAAATGATAAGTCACCGATCGGATTTTAACGTGTAAAATTCAAAAACATAACTTATGAATGTTTAAAGAATAACTTGCCAAAATTTAGACTATAAATTGTCAAAATTCAAATTAGGAATAAAAGTGTATTTTTATTTTTGAAGTATTCTCAAGAGCACCTAACGCCTAAAACTATTTGTTGTAATTAATTTTACCTTTAAAATAATTAAAATAAAGTATTTTTGTCCTTGCTGTCAAATTTTTAACATTAACCATTAAAATATTAATTAAAATTTTAATGTTGACCATTACAAAATTAATAGAAAGAATAAAAATATTTCATTTTAACTACTTCAAAAGCAAAATTACTCAAACAAATAATTTAAAGTGTTAGGTGCTTTTTGAAGAATATTTTAAGAGCAATAACATTACCCTTTAAATTGTAAGCCAGAAAAAACAAAACAGAAAATATGAACTGCAATTTGTTATTGGGTGTGAGTGTGTGTGTTTTTTTAGTACTTTTTTTTACAATAAGTGCTGACGGCCTTTAGGGATGCTAATTTGTCAAGATCTGAACCGCAATGTATCAAAATCTGAACTACAACTTGTCACTTGAAGGGGTGATCTTTTTTAACGAGCAAGGGTTGTTTTTGTCATTTTTCATATAAAGTTATTTACTTAATTATTTTCATTTCAATCATCTGGTCCTTCTGAGTAATTTCATATTTTTAATTTGAATTCTTTACAATTTGAAAATTTTCCTTTCCCCCATTCTCTCCCATACCATCATTAATACATCATTCTGGAATTCGGATTCCAGATCTCATAAAAACTAAATTAATCATATGTGATTTATTAGAGGGGAGATAGAGAAAAATAATGGAAGAGTATCACATTACTGAAAAGGATTTATTCTCTATTGATAATGTTTGGTCTCTTATGGCTAAATAGGTTTTTGCCACGTGGCTTCTTCTTCTTCTTCAAAACTCGATTATAAACTTTAATAAAGACTCTGTATGGTTCAATATTTCTTGTTAGATTTTATTGAAATTACAAGGCTGTAAATATTTAGTTTAATAATCTATGAGTGAAAAATGGGATAGAGGTGGCGAACTTTTTTTTTCTTTCTATTTTATGTAAGTATAAGAAGTGAGTTTCATCAAATGTGAAAAATATTTCTCACGAAATATTAAAATTAATAAGTACACATTTTCAAATTAAAGTACTCGATGACAGGCCTTTTATTTCAGGAAAAGTGGGCAGATCTTGGGCGCGTCCTCTTTTTTTGACCAGTCAACGGTCAAATGCTCCTCGCAAGTCTGGGCGGTGAGCACATGTTGAAGCTGATAGCAATAAACAAAATATTATTAAAAAAAATGCCATACAACAGTGCTATATATAAATATGGATTAATAATTTAATATACAATCTAAATTTTGAATTATAGGTATAAGAATGATTTAAATATTAAATTTTAAAAAAATGCATTTTAAATTATAAACAATTAAAGTTGGGAGGTAATTTCACTCCATCATTAAATTTAGACAAACATTCATCAAATTAGAACTTGATGTGTAATTTTTATCTAATGAGGGTAGAGAGATGGGGAATGAAATTTAATAAAAATCACATAATAAATTCCAATTTGATGGACGTTTGTTAAAATTTAACAGTGCGAGTGAAATTACTCTTACTTCAATTATTTAGGATTCAGTCATACATTTAAATTTCAAATCACCCTTGGAACTGTAATTTAAAATTTAAATTGTATACTAACCTTGTATATGGTATACATATATGTATGTACAAAATGAGAGATACCTCCTCTAGTTTAATCATCTTTGTTTGATGATAAACATTAACAAATCTATGTATCTATATACAATATTTTTTAAAAAATACCATTAGATGGCATTCATTTCTCAAATTTCATGAAAATACATGAGAGTCATAATATGATACGGTTACAATATCAATTTTAATACAACACATATATAAATTTATATTATTTATAAGTTACGAACAACATAACTTCTACATAGGCCTTTCCTAATTTTGTTTTAAAGAATTTACTCTTGATCTATCTTTTCTCCGCAGGAAAAAAGAAGAGGCACATGTATGCTCATACTTATCTACTCGCGCCATACCAATGTTTAGAGAAAGAGGGGGACAATTGCCCTATGAATTTGCAAAAAATACACTTATTTTTGTCAAAATTACACTTGATTTCCCTTTAAAATACAATTGTCCCCCATAAAAAATTAATTACTCCGCATTCTCTTTAAAATTTGTTTACTCTTATATTTATTATAAAAATAAATTTATGGTATAAATGAAATAAAGATATATTTTAAAACTTTTTGCATAATTTATTTATATATTACTTTAATTAATATCTAGATTTATATTATAAAATATTAATATTTATATTTGATATAAACACTGTCTCTATTACTAAATTTTTTGGCAAATTATCAATGACTATGTGGTGTAACAGTACGGAGCCACCCCTTGGGCCTCGACTCGGTACTGGACTCTGGCCCATCACTGGACCAAAGCCGACTTTCCCACAGGTGGTACTGTGGTTATTCCTCACCACTGCCTCTCCAGGGTCTTTTGAAAACCTCCCCAGACTCGAACCTCCAACCTCTACCACCTTAACGAAGTTGAGGCGAAGTCTGGTACCATTGAGTCAACTTGACTCAATGGTACCAGACTTCGCCTCAACTTCGTTAAGGTGGTAGAGGTTGGAGGTTCGAGTCTGGGGAGGTTCCAAAAGACCCCCGTGAGGGTGGGGTGAGGAATAACCACTGTACCACCAGTGGGAAAGCCGGCAATCATGTGGTGACATGTGTGTTGTCCAGCGCCTGGGAAAAGACCCTGGAGAGGCAGTGGTGACCCAGGAGGGCTGTTACATAAAAGGCGCCTTTTATGTAACAGCCCTCCTGGGTCACCACTGCCTCTCCAGGGTCTTTTCCAGGCGCTGGACAACACACATGTCACCACATGATTGCCGGCTTTACCACAGGTGGTACAGTGGCTATTCCTCACCCCACCCTCACGGGGGTCTTTTGGAACCTCCCCAGACTCGAACCTCCAACCTCTACCACCTTAACGAAGTTGAGGCGAAGTCTGGTACCATTGAGTCAACTTGACTCAATGGTACCAGACTTCGCCTCAACTTCGTTA